GGTTCGTGCCCCGGTCCGGGAAGATCCCACATGCCACGGAGCAGCTGGGCCTGTGAGCCATGGCCGCTGAGCCTGTGCATCCGGAGCCTGTGCTCCGCAACGGGAGAGGCCACAACAGTGAGAGGCCCGCGTACCGCAAAAAAAAAAAAAACCAAAAAAAAAACCGGTAAACAAGTGAAGGATGCCGTGTATATGGTTCTGGATGGTCCTGGAGACATCAGAATACTAGGGCAGTCATGTCCCATCTAAATGCATTCAAATTCAATTTTTCAAAATTTAGACTTCATTTTTAATATCAGTTTAAGGTTTACAGCAAAATTGAGGGGAAGGTACAGAGATTTCACATAAACCCCCTGCCCCCCACACATGCACAGCTTCCCCCATTATCAGCTTCCCCATCAGAGTGGTACCTTTCTTAAAACTGATGAACCTACGTTGACATGTCATTATCATTCAGAGCCCATAATTTACATTAGAGTTCACTCTTGGCATTGTACGTTCTGTCGGTTTAGACAAATCTGTAATGACATGTATCCATCATTGTGGTATCATGTGGAGTGTTTTCACTGTCCTAAAAATCCTCTGCACTCTACCTATTCATCCCTCCCCTCCTCAACTCCTGGCAGCCACTGATCTTTTTACTGTCTTCATAATTTTGCTTTTACCAGAATGTTATGTAGTTGAAATCATACAGTATGTAGCCTTTTCAGGCTGGCTTCTTTCACTTTGTAAATATGCATTTAAAGTTCCTTTGTGTCTTTTCATGATTTGCTGGTTCATTGCTTTTTAGTGCTGAATAATATTCCATTGTCTGGATATACCATAGTTTATCTATTAACCTACTGAAAGACATCTTTGGCAACTATGAATAAAACTGCTATAAACTTTATAAAAACCATGTGCAGGTTTTTGTGTGGACATAAGTTTTCAACTCCTTTGGGTAGATACCAAGGAGCATGATTGCTGGCTTGTATAGTAAGAGTATGTTTATTTATATTTTATTTTTGGCTGCGTTGGGTCTTTGCTGCTGCGTGCAGGCTTCCTCTAGTTGTGGAGAGCAGGAGCTACTCTTTTTTTTTAAAAAAAAATAATTAATTAATTTATATTTTATTTTTGGCTGCATTGGGTCTTTGTTTCTGTGCGAGGGCTTTCTCCAGTTGCGGCGAGCGGGTGCCACTCTTCATCACGGTGCGCGGGCCGCTCACTATCGTGGCCTCTCTTGTTGCGGAGCACAGGCTCCAGACGCGCAGGCTCAGTACTTGTGGCTCACGGGCCTAGTTGCTCCGCGGCATGTGGGATCTTCCCAGACCAGGGCTCGAACCCACGTCCCCTGCATTGGCAGGCAGATTCTCAACCACTGCGCCACCAGGGAAGCCCAAGAGTATGTTTAGTTTTATGAGAAACTGTCAAACTGTCTTCCAAAGTGGCTATACCTCAATTCAGTTTTAAAAGCAATATTGTAATCAGTACAACAAACATGTGTACGGGTGGAATTTGACTGTACTGACTGATTGTAACCTCTGGAAAGGGTGCATAAAACTTGCCGAGGTATAATACAGCTCAGAATTCTACACTAGGAATCATAGTGAATACAACTTCTCTTGATATCTCCTTGGTCCACATGAAAAATACGATGAATGAACAATTATCTCCTCTTCAAAATGCTCAGGACAAAAGTGTTTTCTATGCAGTGCAGGTACCAAACACATCCAGGAAGCTAGGGATCCTCTCCAAGGAAACATGAAAACAAGTGCATTTATTTATTTATTTATTCAGCCATTCCTTCATCCATCAAACTTTTATTGAATTCCTAGTGTATTGTTTGGTTGAAAGTAAATCCCTTTTCTTTTTCTTTTAAAAAAAAATTTATTTATTTGGTTGTGCTGGGCCTTAGTTGCGGCAGGTGAGCTCCTTAGTTGCGGCTAACTGGCTCCTTAGTTGTGGCATGTGAACTCTTAGTTGTGGCATGCACGTGAGATCTAGTTCCGTGACCAGGGATCAAACCCTGGCCAGCCCCCTGCATTGGGATCACGGAGTCTTAACCACTGCACCACCAGGGAAGTCCCTAATCCCTTTTCATAAGGAGTTTACAGTTTAGCGGTGGAAATAAGCCAAGGGCTCAGATGTCTATTAAACAGGACAGGATGAGAGAAGGCTCACAGTCCAAAAGAACCGCTAGGGGAACGAAGGGGTGGAGAGACCACGCCCACTTGGGAGGTTGAAGGCAAGATTACATGAAGGAGGAGGAGTCACAGTAGATTTGAAGGAGAGGCTGTACTGTTACAGGAGAAGAGGGTCAGTCGGGGAGGGCTAGGAAAATGCGCTAGGAAAATGCAGGGGCCCAGTGTCCAGGAGACACCCATTTGTTCTACCCTGGAGTTTAGTGTCCACAGGAGGAAAAGTGAAACAATGAAGCTGGAAAGATGACGGCAGACAGGTATGCAAATAATTGACAAGAACAGTTGAGCACTATGAGCAAAGCCCAATTTAGGACCAGACAGAGAAGTAAAATTCTTGCTCTTCACTGAACGTGGGCTGTTTACCCTAAACTCTCTGTGCCTTTGTTTCCTCACCTGTAAAATGCGGATAATACTAATGCATTATTATTTACTTCTTGTAATGTTCTTACAAGAACTAATGCTACTTACTGAGTAAAAACCATGTGTCATGCTTTATGTGCATTAATTTATTTTATTGTTACAACAACCTTATGAGGAAGATACATTATAATCCCCACTGATGTCTGAGGAAAATGAGGCATAGAGAGAAAAAGTAACTTGACAGATGTCACAGAGATAGAAAATGGCAGGGCAGGGATAATGAGATACTGTCTAGTGTATGATTTGGTCAAGATCAAACATGTGAGCTCTTAGCTTAGTGCCTGCCAATAGCAAGCGCTTGATAAACGCTAGCTATTAATATTATTATTATTAATTCTATTATTATTATTATTTGGCTGGAGAAGTCATCTCAGGCTTCATGGAGGAGGTGACATTTGCAATCAGCCTTGAGGGTGGGTGGGCTTTGGCCAGGTGGGGATGGAGCAGAAGGACATTTTAGACTTACGGACATAGCAGGAGCTTTGCAGCTTTGGGATAGAGAATCAGGGAGGAGACCTGGAGGCTGGATCATAGGCTCTAAGGGAAACGGGAGAGAAGGTTTCAGCTGGTGGTAGTGTGTCAGCATTTGAGTTTTAAATTTAGGCAGTGAGGAGATCAGAGCTTTGTTCAATTTTCTGTCTGTGAACGAAGCTGCCTGCTCTTGAGGCCATGCTGTCCTCTGGGGGCAGCTCTGCAAACCTGAGTCTGTGCAGCCAGGTACCCAGTTCTAGGGGTGCTGCCTAGGCCAGAAGAGGAAACGTCTTGGAGATCAGGAGTCTCCACTCAAAAGTCCAGCTTTCATTCTAGACTCATCCCTTGATCAGGACAGGCTGTCATTGGGTGCTTGTGTGTGCTCAGAGATGAAGGGAGAAAAAGAAACTGAATAGCAGAAGCCCCTCTGCAAGTCTTGTGACTTTCTGCACCATCTCTCCTGCTGATACTTCCGTTTAAGATCCAAAAGGGCACCGCTGACTTAAGCCATCTCCAGGGCCAGATATTCCTGGGTGAAAATGAGGGGCTTCTTGGGAGGAAATGAAAGAAGACAGAGATGTGGTTTTGCCTTAAGATTTTCTAATGTGAACTGCTGGACGGATTCATTTTGAAATAGAAAGATGGGCCTGAAAGTGTGATGTAAGTGCAGTCATTTGGAGTCCCTCCTGGAGAACACACAGAGGTGAGTAGGGGTTCTCCAGAATTACCTTGATGGAGTCTTTGGCTGGGAAGTGGGAGTGGAACGTGCACAGAAATAGAAACCAGACCACCAGTCCCGTGTTTTCCAAAGGGCAAGTGCTATGTGAGGTAATTTTAGACTGTAAGGGAACAACCCATTAAACAGTTACAAATCACAAATGAGAACGTTTTTCCATTTCATAGTTTTTCTGAAGGCATCGAGGAGGAGGTCTCAGTTTGGGGCTAGATGTGTCCTTAATGCCTCTCCACCACTTGTTGATCTCTTTAACAGAGAGTGGGCCTCAGGTGCAGAGGTTTTAGAAGGCAGAAGTATCAATTCTAGAGGGTCTCATCCTTGGCTCACACTGCTATTTCTTGAAAAGAGCTTTAAAAATTACTTTTGGGGGCTTCCCTGGTGGCGCAGTGGTTGAGAGTACGCCTGCCGATGCAGGGAACATGGGTTCGTGTCCCGGTCCGGGAAGATCCCACATGCCGCGGAGCGGCTGGGCCCGTGAGCCACGGCCGCTGAGCCTGAGTGTCCGGAGGCTGTGCTCCGCAATGGGAGAGGCCACAACAGTGAGAGGCCCGCGTACCGCCAAAAAAAAAAAAAAAAAATTACTTTTGCCTGGTCTTCTCCTCCTCCCTCCACCGGAATTCTGTTTTAGTAGGTCCGGGGGTACGGCCTGGGCATTGGGACTTTTAAAAACTCTCCAGGCAACGGTTTCTGATTAGAATTTTACATTGTATTTATTAATCTATTTTTGGCAAGTGATGGTTTTCTATTTCAGGTAATGAAGTAAAATTTCTTCTCAGTATCAATTGACTTAAGAAAATTAGTAAGTGCCCATTTAAAAAAAAAAACCCACAAAATGGAATAGTGCAGGTGGCATTTGGATATGGTAAAAACAAAATATGCATGGAGTGAACTTTGGGAAATCTTTGGGTCCTTGCTTCATGCTACAATTTCTGACCTCTTGTTGGTCCAGTCTCCTCAAAAATAAAATGGAAATAATTATTCCAGGTCACCTTTTTCTCAGTGGGTTTACTCTGGGAATCAAATGATTGAGCTTTGTTAAGTTTTGTTGATTTGCTAAACAAATGTGAGGAAGGAAATAATGGTGCAGGGAGGGCTAGTTGGCAGATTTACTGAGGGCTGGATTTGGGGCATCTTAGACCAGACTATTTGGAAGTATTGATTTCCAGGTACCATCTTCTCTCTCTTCCCACCAGAATGACCCACTGGTTTCCAGTAAAGTTATCATAGCCTACAGTAATGATTGATTTGCTCCAGTGGTAAACTAAAGAACAACTCACAGTCCCACCAGGGCCTCCAAGGGTTGCATGTTCTAACAACAGCTGGACATCTTGTGTTCCTGCCCCCTCAGTCAGGATCTTCCACACGTTGGTGTGTATGGAGGAGATGCTGGCCTGGCTCTCTGCAGACTGAATTATAGTCCTGGTTCTGCACCTACCCGCTGAGTGTCCTCCTCCATGGGCTGCCGTTTCTTCAGCAGATAAGTGAGGGGCTTGGACCAGTTGAAGATGAAGTCCAAACTCAGATGCCTTCAGCACCAAAGAGGTGACCCAAACGTAAGGCTCTGCCGAGGGAATTGGGAGTGGTTGGGCCTGTGGCCAAGTGGAGAGCACAGTCTCACAATAAAGATATTCAGATCCAATTTCTAAAAACCATGGTGTGGTCTAAACAATAAATCTGCAAGATGACAATTGGCAATTCTTGGATGCGGTAGTTTCTAAGATCCCTTTTAGTTCTAAAAATAAGTTTACGATAGTAAAATAAATTCAAAGTTTCTGCTAGAGGTTTTTGATATGATGGCTGTATGCGGTAATACCCAGGGGCTTCCTTGATAAAAAGACCCAGCATTTAAAATAAGAGCTAAGGTTCACATGCTAAATTCTCTAAAACCATTATCTCATTTAATCCCTGCCACAGCCCTGTGAGGTCAGTACTATTATAACTGCTTCATAAAGAATGAGGAAATTGAGGCTCAGAGAGTTTGTCTTTTAAGTAAGATCTCTAAAACAGCACCATCCAATAGAAATATAATGTGGGTCACATATGTCATTTTGAATTTTCAAGTAGTCATGTTTAAAAAAAGTGAAAAGAAACAAGTGAAATTAATTTTAATAATATATTTTATCAACTTGGAACATTATCGTCTCAAAATATAATCAATGTTAAAACTAATTAATGAGGGACTTCCCTGGTGGCACAGTGGTTAAGAATCCACTTGCCAATGCAGGGGACACGGGGTCGAGCCCTGGTCTGGGAAGATCCCACGTGCCGCAGAGTAACTAAGCCCGTGAGCCACGACTACTGAGCCCGTGTGCCACAACTACTGAAACCCACACGCCTAGAGCCCGTGCTCTACAAGAGGAACCACCACAATGAGAAGCCCGTGCACTGCAACGAAGAGTAGCCCCCTCTTGCCGCAACTAGAGAAAGCCTGTGCACAGCAACGAAGATCCGACGCAGCCAAAAAAAAAATTAATTAATGAGATACCTTACATTCCTTTTTGTACTCAGTCCTTGAAATCTAACGTTTTCTCCTTTTATAAGACATAGCTCTATTGAACTGTAATTCGCATACCATACAATTCTCCCATTTAAAGTGTATAATTAAATGATTTTTAGTACATTCACATATGTGCAACCATCTCCATAGTCAAGTTTAGAACCTTTTCATCAACTTGAGATGAACCCCATATTCTTTAGCTGTTATGGTCCTAATAACCTGGTTGCTTCCCTATGCAACCACTCATCTACTTTCTGTTTCTATAGGTTTCAATTCTGGACATTTCATACAAATGGAAACATATAATATGTGGTCTTTTGTGACTAGCTTCTTTTCTTCTTTTGTTTACAAGCTTCATCCATATATAGCATATGTCAGTGCTTCATTCCTTCTTATGCACAAATAATATTCCATTGTATGATTGCATCACATTTGGTTTATCCATTTGTCTGTTGATGGATATTTGGGTTGTTTCCACCTTTTTGCTGCTTTGAATAATTCTGCTATGACATTTGTATGCATGTTTCTGTGTGGACATATGTTTTAATATCTCTTGGGGTTGTTACCTAGGGTTACAATTGCTGGGTCATATGGTAACTCGATGCTTGATCATTTGAGGAACTGCCAGACTGTTTTCCAAAGTGGCTATACCCTTTTACATCCCCGTCAGCCGTGTATGAGGGTTCCAATTTCTCTACAGTCTTACCAACACTTGTTGTTCACCTGACTTTTTTTTTTTTTTTTTTTTGTGTGGTACGCGGCCTCTCACTGTTGTGGCCTCTCCCATTGCGGAGCACAGGCTCCGGACACTCAGGCTCAGCGGCCATGGCTCACGGGCCCAGCCGCTCCGCGGCATGTGGGATCTTCCCGGACCGGGGCACGAACCCACGTCCCCTGCATCGGCAGGCGGACTCTCAACCACTGAGCCACCAGGGAAGCCCTACCCAACTTTTTGATTCTGGCCATCTTTAGTGGGTGTGATGTGTTATCTCATTGTGGTTTTGATTTGGATTTCCCCATGACTAATGATATGGAGTGTCTTTTCATGTGTTTATTGGCCATTTAATACCTTTCTTGTAGAAATGTCTATTCAGATCCTTTGCCCATTTGTTAATTGGGTTATTTGTCTTTCTATTATGTAGATATATGTGTTCTTTATGTATTCTAGGTACTAATTCCTTATCAGGTATGTGATCTGTGAATATTTTTCTCATTCTGTGGGTTGTCTTTTTACTTTCTTATTTATTTATATTTTATTTTTGGCTGCTTTGGGTCTTTGTTGCTACACACGGGCTTTCTCTAGTTGCGACGAGCGGGGGCTTCTCTTGTTGCAGAGCATGGGCTCTAGGCGCACAGACTTCAGTAGTTGTGGCTTGCGGGCTCTAGAGCACAGGCTCAGTAGTTGTGGCACACGGGCTTAGTTGCTCTGCGGCATGTGGGATCTTCCCGGACCAGGGCTCGAACCTGTGTCCCCTACATTAGCAGGCGGGTTCTTAACCACTGCGCCACCAGGGAATGTCTTTTTACTTTCTTGATGGTGTCCTTCAAGGCACAAAAGTTTTAAATTTTGATAAAGTTCAATTTATCTATTTCTTCTTTTGTTGCTTTTGCTAAAGCTCTAAGATGGAGGTATATAGTGATAGACACCTACATTAAGTAAAAAGAAAGATCTCAAAGAAATAATCTTACTTTACACCTTAAGAAACTAGAAAAAGAAGAGCAAACTAAGCCCAAAGTTTGCAGAAGGAATGACATAACAAAGATCTGAGTGGAAATAAGTGAGAGACTAAAAAGACAATAGAAAAGATAAATGAAACTAAGAGCTGTGTTTTTGAAAAGATAAAATAGATAAAACTGTTAGCTAGATTTACCAAGAAAAACAATGAGGACTCAAATAAATAAAATTAGAAATGAAATAGGCGACATTACCCATATGAAAAATATGATGAATGAACATTTTTCTCCTCTTCAAAGTACTCAACATTTTTCCCTTCTTTCTTGAGATAATCATGATTTTTCTGCTTACTCTTTTAATATGGTAAATTACATGTATAGGTTTACAAATGTCAACTCAACTTTACATTCCTGGAATAAACTCTACTTGATTGTGATACATTGTTCTTTACATATTGCTGGCTTTGATGTATCAGTGTTCATGGGTAAGATTAGTCTGTAATTTTCCTTCCTCAGAATACCCTCCTCAGTTTTTAGTGTCAAGGCTATGGTGGCCTCAAAACCAGTTGATGAGGGTTCCATTTTATTTATTGTAAAGTCTGACATGATTTCTTTATATGTTTGGTAAAACTCATCAGTAATGCTATCTGGGCCTACAGTTTTCTTTTGGGAAGGTTTTAAATTATGTAATTAATTTATTTTATGGTTATAATATTATTTTAATTTTCTCTTTCTTCTTGTGTCAGTTCTGATAATTTATATTTTTTTAGGAATTTGATTATTCAAAAATTTGGAATTTAGAAATACGTTTCAATATATTGTCCCTTATGATCTTTTTAATGTCTAAAATATCTAGAGTGATGCCCTTTTCATTTCTGATATTGATTATTTTTGTCTTCTCTTTGATCTCAATTTGTCTCACTAGGGATAAGTTTTTTATTCATTTACTTTCTACTCTTACCATTTTTTTTCCTCCCACACTTTCTTTGGGTTTAATTTGTTATTTCATGTCTAACTTCTTGAGATGGAAGCATAGATCATTGACTTTTTTCAGTCTTTCTTTTTTTTTAAACATCTTTATTGGGGTATAATTGCTTTACAATGGTGTGTTAATTTCTGCTTTATAACAATGTGAATCAGTTATACATATACATATGTTCCCATATCTCTTGCCCTCTTGCGTCTCCCTCCCTCCCACCCTCCCTATCCCACCCCTCCAAGCGGTCACAAAGCACCGAGCCGATATCCCTGTGCCATGCGGCTGCTTCCCACTAGCTATCTACCTTATGTTTGTTAGTGTATATATGTCCATGCCTCTCTCTCGACCTGTCACAGCTCACCCTTCCCCCTCCCCATATCCTCAAGTCCGTTCTCCAGTAGGTCTGTGTCTTTATTCCTGTCTTACCCCTAGGTACTTCATGACATTTTGTTTTCCCTTAAATTCCATATATATGTGTTAGCATACTGTATTTGTCTTTTTCTTTCTGACTTACTTCACTCTGTATGACAGACCTTTCTTCTTTCTTAATATAAGGGTCTTAAGATTGTAAGTTTCCCTATAAGCTTGATCTTAATTGGTGCCCCCAAATTAATTAATTATTATTGGTTATCTATTGTTACATCACCAGTTCCTATCAGAGTGCCCAGTCTCCCGTATGTTCAAAGTATTCCAAAGGCTTCTTATTTCATTCAGGAGAAAGCCAGAATCCTTGTATTGGCCCACTTGTCCCTCCGTGATCTGCCTTCTACTTCCTCATTGGTTTCATCTCCTATTGTTTACTCACTCCTGTATTCATCCCAGATTGGCCCTCCTGCTGTTCCTTGGAAACATCAGATACATTCTTGTCTCAGGGCCTTTGCACTTGCTGCCACCCATATCTGGAAAGCCTATACTACAAATAGATGCCTGGCTTGCTGCTTTCCTTCATTCGGGTCTCTGTTGAAATGTACTTTTTCATAAAGGCCTTCTGTGACTACCTATATAAGATAGCACCCTTTAGCATACTCTGTCCTCTTTACCATTGTTTATTTTTCTTCATTATGCCTTTTGCCAACTGACACCAAATTATCTGTTTTTTTGTTTTGTTTTGTTTGGCTCTCCTCATCTCCCCTCTCTAGAATGTAAGCTCTCTGAGATGCGAGATTTTTTTTTTTCTGTTTTATTTATTGCTGTATCTCCAAAGTCTAGAACAGTGTCTGGAATATAGTAGATAATATACAATTATTCATTGATTGAATGGACTCTGTGCTTGGAGTAGATCTGGATTAAATATTTCTGAATCTATCATTTATCAGCCATGTGAACTTGAGCAATCAAATGAAACTTTCTTAGTGCCAGTTCCTTTATTTGTATAATGGGGATAATAATGTTGCCCTGAGATACTGAATATACAAGTTCCTTATGAAGTATAAAATTATAATGAGACATTTTTAATATGATAGTCAGAAATGTCTTAACATGTTTAAATTTCTTTCTCTTTGGACTTCCATGCTATTAAAAATTCACTCCTTTGGGATAAGGCATTTTGTTGCATTTGGCTCTAGTTGAATTATAAGTATGTTTCTTGGAAAGGATAACATTTTTATGCTTCTGTAGCTTTAACAAGTCAGCAGGAATTCACATAGAATTCATTGTCCCTGAAGGCATGGGATATAGGAGAGGTGTTTTTCAATGGAGAAAGCAGCAAATAAAGATCTGAAGCATGGGGAGAGGAAGTTCTGGAAGGGCAGTTTTAAGTGCACACTGGGGAAAAAATTAAGAAGTCTTTCATTAGTCAGGTAAGGATAGGTTATGCTACAATAAAAAAACCACCTCAGAATTTCAGTAGCGTGACCAAGAAAAGGTTAGTTTCTTGTCCATATAAAGTATGCTGTGAGTCCATGCTACCCTCCAGGGGATGGGGGCAGGAATAGTTGTGTTATTATATATGTCTGTGTGTGGGACTTAGTAGGAAGTCTGAATTAAACAACTTTAATAAATTTAATAAAGTTTTATAAGATAATTGCAGTCCTATGTCCTGGCAGAAGATTTTAGAGTTTATGTAGGAATATACTTGAATATACTATTGTGATTCTGTAGCCCCTTCCACGTAGAGTTTAGATGCAATTATTGCATTCTCCAACTAAAAGTTGTGTCATATATCTTTTGTGTGTGTGTGTATGTGTGTGTGTGGTGTATCTTGATGAATATATATGTTTATGCGGGAATGGGACACATTATTTGAATTAGAACTTTAACTAAATGCTACCATTTATTGAGCACTTTCTATGTACCAGGTACACTCCCAGGTACCAGGGGCTTTAGACATCTTATCTCATTTATTATAATTCTGAAAACAGCTCCTTGAGGTAGGTACTATTGTTGTACGGACTTTATAGTGAGGAACCGATGTTCAGCAGTGTGAAGTAATTTGACTTTAGTCACACAACTAAGTGGCAGAACTTAGACCAAATTCAGGTCTGCTTGGCTCCAGAGGCCATGATCTTAACCATAATGCAGCGCTGCCCACCCCTCCCCATTTCCAGATAGTACGTCCTGGATGTATAAGTGCCGTTAAGTTTATCAACAAACCAAAATTGATGATGACAACATGATGATGATAAATGTAGTAATATGGTGGTGGTTATATTTGATTTGACAGCATTTGGGCCTAAGTTAGACTGCCAAAGGTGTCCTGTTGTATGTGTAACATTCCCAACTTTATAATTACTCCTTTGGGTTCAGACTTTGCATGTGGCAGACCCCAGTTAAAATGCAAATGTATTTCCTGGGAGCAATAATAAGTTAACACCAATCATTATGACTGCATCAGCAAGAAACAGCCAATTTCTATCACCAGGGAATAATCAAGCAGAGAAGACAAAATTTAAAATAGTCAGTGTGCTAGAAGGTAATTTAATGTAGTATATACTCAAATGAGAAATTAAATATAATTAGTGGAAGTTATATTTCACATAAACATAATGGGTAGGCCAGTGAGGGAAGGGTCTCATAATTGGCAGTAATTATCAGGAGAGGTTTCTTGGAGTAGGTGGCACTTGATATGAGTCTTGAATTCCTGGGTGACTTGAAAACCATATGTTTGTCTCATAATCCTGATTTCCTAAACACTCTGTAGTAATTCTCTCTTATTTTTTTTTCTGCCTGTAACAGTCTATCTTTCTCCATATTCTCTTCTCTTCTTTCTCTACACTAATTTAAAAAATGTGACTTGAGTGGGAGCTTCATCTTTTTAAAGATCTTTGTCCTAGATAATGTTTAATGGCTCACAGATAGGCACTTAATCTGATATGAGCCAGTCCTAATACCCAAACTTACAGCCATAGTTGATGAGTTCAGTGGTGGGTAGCTGACCCAAGATTAGCCAGTTAGATCCATTTGTAGGATTTTTGAATTTGGGACTAGAGAAAGTAAGTCTCAGTTCCTCTGTGGGTTTGTGTATTGTGAGATTTGAGATACGGAAGCTATGAATATAGTTCAAGAAAGAATAAAGTCGACCTACAGAATGAAACACATGAGACACACAGAGAGGGTCTTGGTGGAATTTAAGTTTCTGATTCCAGAGGTCTCTGAGATCCACCATTAAGCACTGATGTGGTTATTCAATCTTCATATGAATAATTTCTAAATAATCTCCTCCCCCACTCCACCCCCCGACCCCCCATCTATCTTTTGCCCTTAGCTAGTCTGAGTTGAATTTTTGTCACATGCAACTAAGAGAGTCCCGGCGAATACTGTATTTTGTTTTATTGTAACTTCATGTTGAAATAGGTAGAATAAGAGATTATCTTTATTTCATAGAGAAGAAGATGAGGCTCAGAAAATATAATGTAGTGAAGACACTGAAAAATATGAGAAGTTGATCCAAAATTTCTCACACTGGAGAAAACACTGGTAGGTACAGGGAGATGCAGGCAGGAAAAGTCTGCTAGTTTAGGAAACTCAGTGTATAAACTATGAATAAAGTAGCTTTCCATTGCTGTGGGTATTATGAGTGCTCTGACGCCGAATTTGGTATCATTTTAGCTTGCGTTTTTCGTTTTTTGTTTTTTTGTCAGCAAAAGCTTGGCTTTTGAGGGAAAAGGAGGAAACCCAATTCCACCACAGCACCTATTTCCCATTTTACTTAAGGTCCATGGGGTTACCCAGGTGTGAAGTCAGTCATAACTCTCTGTACCTCAGGGATGTAATACTGACAAGGATGGCTTTTGACAAGGGCTGATTTCAAAATGAAACTGAATGCTGATTGTCTCACTCTTATCAAAGCACGCTTGAATCTATATTAACCTAGGGACACCAAGAGATGCAGAAAGAACAATCCCTGGAGTTTAAAGACAAACTTTGCTTATGCCATCTTTAAGTAAAGAAAAGAAAAAGAACTTAGGACATTTAACAATTTATCTCCTCTTTTATTTCAAATAAGATTTAAGGTGGTTTAAAGGATATGAAAATATAGGAAGACAATAAGTTAAACGTAGAAGAGAACTGAAAAAATAAATGACCATAAGAGTTAGGAGTGAGGCTCATAAACAATGAATATGATACAATCCTATACATTATGTGATAACTGGTCCCCAATTTAGGCTTTAAGCTTTCTTGTCAGTGCAAACAGGGAAACCTAATTGATTACACAGTTTGCAATGTTCATGAGATAAACCAAAGCAAATCCTTGGGAGAAGTACAACTGCATCTGATCCTGTGACCAAAAACAACGTGTCCCTGGTTTCTTACAAAGAGAGTACTGTGTTATATAATGTAAAAGGCCTCGAGTGCTCCTTCCAGGAGACCCAAGGATGAGATTCACAGCCCTGGCAGTATTATTTCTCAAATTTTAATCATCTTTATAATTTCTGCTATATCTACATTTAAAAAATTATTAACCTAATATATTTCTAACATACGTTTCACTTGGATTCCATTTTTATTTTATTTTTTTATTTTTATAAATTTATTTATTTATTTTTGCCTGCGTTGGGTCTTCATGGCTGTGCGTGGGCTTTCTGTAGTTGCGGTGAGTGGGGGCTACTCTTCGTTGAGGTGCGTGGGCTTCTCGTTGCGGTGGCTTCTCTTGTTGTGGAGCATGGGCTCTAGGTGCACGGGCTTCAGTAGTTGTGGCACGTGGGCTCAGTAGTTGTGGCTTGCGGGCTCTAGAGCGCAGGCTCAGTGGTTGTGGCGCACGGGCTTAGTTGCTCCACAGCATGTGGGACCTTCCCGGGCCAGGGCCGGAACTCGTGTCCCCTGCACTGGCAGGCGGATTCTTAACCACTGTGCCACCAGGGAAGTCCCTTGGATTCCATTTTAAACTTAATTTCATCTTAGCAAGGTAGATGAGCTAGTTCTAGTTTTCTAATACCCTTTAAATTAAGTTTATAGGTATTAAAATGAAAAAGTCTATTATAACCCCAAATTTTCTGATGTACCCCCTTGGTGCTACACCTTGGGAAACACTGGCTTAGGGAAAAAAAGAAATCCAACATTTGAATAACCATGACCTCATTACATCTTAATATCTCTCTTATGAAGTATTATGACCATCAGTGTTGAGAATTCTGAGATTAAAGAATTTTCACAAGGTCCCACAATAACCAAGCCAGGATGAACCTCAAGTCCTCTGATGAAAGTCAAGTTCCAGCTTCTAGAGGAATGCATGGAGGGCCTTGTCCCCAAACCAAAGTTCAGACCCTCCTTAACCGTTTGCTCCTTTGCTTCCTCCCAGAATGCCTCATTCCCTGCTTGGTCCATAGTGATGCCAGCCTGTGGTTATTGGAACTTGGTCTGCCAGACCAAATGGAGGAAGTCTGCCAGGCAGATGTGGAACCCAAAAGAGGAACTTCACCAACTGCTGTGGACAGCTCTAGCACTTCATGCCCCCGTGGACTTTTGGGGAAGTATTTTTGTGGCTCACCAGTCTCTCATTAGGCAAAGGTCACTTGTCCTGTCTTGGCCTTCTCTACTGGTGGAAAGTACGGCTGGGAGATTTGGAATGGTTGCTGTTTGACTTTGATTCTTGGCACGACTGTCACCATGAGCTTTTTTGGTAAGATCACAAGCTGAAGTTTGTTGTTGAGGATTGCAGGATTCCTTCTAATCTTTGGGAATGTTTTGAATCATAACTGGCAGTGGCTTTCTGATGGCAACTTGAGCAAGCTCAGGGGGAGAAGCCATCACCCTCTCTCACACGAATATGACTTTGGGTAAATTACCTTGAACTCTTTACCTAGGGGTGTAATCTACATTCTTTCTGAGCCCTGATTTATAGTGTAAACATTTTTCTTCTTATTTTAATGAATAGAAGTAACGTTTTCTGCTCCATCCTTCTCTTAAAGAGATTTTAAAGTCTCTTATAATTAAAAAATTTTTATTATTTAAAAAATTTTTATTTTGCTATAGTTGTAGATTCACATGCATCTGTACAAAATGCTACAGAAAAATCCTGTGTACTTTTTTACCCAGTCTCCCCTAATGGTAACATTCTTAAAGAGATTTAAAATTTGCTGAGGTATAATTTAGATATGATAAAAATCACTCTTTTAAAGTGTACAGTTTGATGAGCTTTGACAAATATATACAGCTGAGTAACTGCTATCACAATCAAAAGATAGAACATTTCTATCATCCCAAGAAGTTTCTTCATGCCTCTTTGTAGTTAACCCCCTCTCCCCATTCCCAGCCCCTAGAAACCACTTATCTGTTTTTTGTCCCTATACTTTTGCCTTTTCTAGACTGTCTTTTAAATGGAATCATACAGTATGTAGTCTTTTCTGTCTTTTTATTCACTTAGAATATTGCTTTTGAGATTCATCCATGTTTCTGAATGAATCACTGGTTTGTTCCTTTTTATTGCTGAGTAGTATTCCACTATATGCCACAATTTGTTTATCCACTCACCAACTGATGGACGTTTGTGTTTTTTTCCAGTTTGGGGCTATTAGGAATAAAGATGCAATAAACATTCCTGTATAAATCTTTGGGAGGACGTATGTTTTCATTTCCCTTGGGTAAATTCCTCAGAATAGAATTGCTGGGTTGTGTGGTTAATGTCAGGGTAATGCCAACCTGGTAAAACAAGTTGGAAAGTGTTTTTTCCTCTTTTATTTTTTGAAAGAGTTCATGTAGAATTGATACTGTATCTTCTTTAAATGTTAGGTAGAATTCCCTAGTAAAACTGGAGTTTTTCTTTGTGGGAAGGACTTTAACTATGAATACAATCTCTTTAATAGATATAAGGCCACCCAAGTTTTCCCTTTCTTCTTGAATGAGTCTTAGTAAGGAATTTGTTTATTTCATCTATGTTATCAAATTTATTGTCAGGAAGTTGTTCATAAAATAACATTATCCTTCCTAACATCTGATAGATCTGCTGTGACAGTCCTTCTTTTATTCATAACATTGGTAATTTGGGTCTCTGTCCTTTTTTCTTGATCTGTATATATAGAAGTTTACCAATTTTATTGATCTTTCCAAAGCACCAGCTTTTGGTTTCATTGTTTTGCTTACTAATTTCTGTTTTCTATTTCAATGTTTTCTGCTCTTATCTTTATTATCTCCTTCCTTTTATTTACTTTGGGTTTAATTTGCTCTTAATTTTTTAGTTTCATAAGGTGGAAACTTAGATAATTGATTTTAGACCTTTCTTCTTTTCTAGTATGAGCATTTAATACCATCAATTCCTCTTTAAACACTGCTTTAGCTGGATCCTACAAATTTTTAAGATTTCTTATCATTTTAATTTAAACATATGTTTAATTTCCCTTGTTATTTCCTCTTTGACCTGTAGGTTATTTAGAAGTGTTCTGTTTATTACCCACATATTTAAGAATTTTCTTGGTGTCATTCTGTTGCTGATTTATAGTTGACCACCATTGTCATCAGAAAATATACCTTTCTGTATTTTTAATCCTTTTAAATTTGTTGAGATTAGTTTTATGCCCCAGAATATGGTCTACTTTTGAATATTTCATGAACAGTTGAAAAGAAAGTAAATTCTCTGAGATGAAGTATTCTATACATTAGGTCAAGTTGCTTGATAGTATTGTTCAAGTTATCTATATATTTAATAATTTTTGTCTAATTTTTCTATCAATTATTGACAAGAAAAAAGTTGAAATCTCCAACTATAATTGTTGATTTGTCTACTTCTCTTATTGGCCATGATCTGTTCACATACTTCATCTGCCCCATTCTCTCTCTTCTTCTGGCACTCAGTTTCATTTATGTTGGGCAATTTGATATGGTCTCACAGCTCCTGGGTGTTTTCCCACTGATTGTTCTTCTCTTTTCATATTTGTAAAAATAACCTCTATCTTCAAATTCACTTATCCTTTCTTCTGCTGTGTCCCATTTGTTGACAAAACTGCCTGGGCAGTTCTTCATCTCTGATGTTGTGTTTTCATGTTTAGCATTTCCATCTTACACTTTTTTAATAGCTTCCATCCCTTTGCTGAAATTCCCCATGATCCATACATTTCGTCTACCTTTTTATTTATTTTATTTATTTATTTTTTGTGGTACGCAGGCCTCTCACTGTTGTGGCCTCTCCCGTTGCGGAGCATAGGCTCCGGACACGCAGGCTCAGCGGCCATGGCTCACGGGCCCAGCCGCTCCGCGGCATGTGGGATCTTCCCGGACCGGGGCACGAACCCATGTCCCCTGCATCGGCAGGCAGACTCTCAACCACTGCGCCACCAGGGAAGCCCTCGTCCACCTTTTTAATGCTAAGTCCTTTAACATATTTATTAAAGTAGTTATAATGTCCCTGTCTGATGCTTCTAACATCTAGGTTATTTCTGGGTCTGGTTCTGTTGCATATTTTATCTCTTGACAGGAGGGTATTTTTTTTTCTTGCTTCTTTGTGTCTCTTATTATTTTCAATAAATTGCTGAACATTCTGGGTAAAAGAACAATAGAGACAGAGATAAATAATATATGATGCGGACTTCCCTGGTGGTGCAGTGGTTGAGAGTCTGCCTGCCGATGCAGGGGACACGGGTTTGTGCCCCGGTCCAGGAAGATCCCACATGCCGCGGAGCGCCTGGGTCCGTGAGCCATGGCCGCAGAACCTGTGCTCCGCAACGGGAGAGGCCACAACAGTGAGAGGCACGTGTACTGCAAAAAAAAAAAATGATGCCCAGGATGGCATATGTGCCATGGAATTTGTTAGTATTTAAAATGCTTTTTGGCCATCCAAGGTGGGTGTTATTATTCTCCCATTTTAAAGGTGAGGAAAGTGTGGGGAGGGGAGGACAGCAACACAGTGCCAGGGATGAACTTGGTTTTGAATTATGGCTATGTGGCTGATCCCTTCCCTAACTGTTATGTGGGATCTGGTGGCACTGGGAAGCATGTCTGTGGAGCGGTAAAGACTGGAGGCTGGGAGGCCAGTCACAGCTGTCCCAGCAGTGCAGGGTATGGTGTTAAATGCCCACCAGGGATCATTAATTCAAACGCTTAGAGTATACATGGCTCATTTAAGTGAATACACATAGGCAGAAATATACGGCTCAGTATTAAAGACAAACTAGGGAGTGATGGGGACCGTGGTGAACTGGATGCACATGCTCCTTTCCAGAAGGACAGCTGTGACTCAGTTCTGGCTGACCGTGCCAGGTGCAAAACCAAGATTAGTGTTACCAGTTCTTGTGATGTTTTGATGGAAGCCAGAAATCTGAACTTAAATGTGAAGTATCCTGATTTTAAAGGTTGGCCACAGGTATAATTTTTAAAAATGTTTATTTAGGCCATACCATGAGGATTAAGCAAAACATGTCTGTAGACTGTCAGCCTATAGGCCACACAAGCCTGGGTGGTGGCAGAGAGACTGCCCAGGTACTGCTACAACTGTGGACATGCAGTTTTACCAGGCATGTTTTTGGTCAAAGGGCTAAATGGCAGACTCCAGAGCATTTTCTATCAACATGAGACCATTCATTAGGTTTACTCATGGCTTTAGACTTTGCCAGCCTGGAGGTACATCTGTGTTTACTTTGATATCAATACCTGCCTTACTCCATATTTCATTTTTCTTTCTTTTTCATTGCAAATTCTTTTTTTTGAATTGAAGTATAGTTGATTTAGAATGTTGTGTTAGTTTCTGGTGTACAGCAAGTGATTCAGTTATATATATATATACACACACACACACACACACACACACACACACACACACACACACACATATATATGTGTACATTCTTTTTCAGATTCTCTTCCATTATAGATTATTACAAGATATTCAATATAGTTCCCTGTGCTATATGGTAGGATCTTATTGTTTATCTATTTTTAATATAATGGTGTGTATCTGTTAATCCCAAGCTCCTAATTTATTCCTCCCCTGCTTAGTGGCTGCACCAATTTACATTCCCAACAGTGTAGGAAGGTTCCCTTTTCTCCACACCCTCTACAGCATAATCAAATTTGTAGACATATTGGTGATGGCTATTCTGACCAGTGTGAAGTGATACCTCACTGTGGTTTTGATTTGCATTTCTCTAATGATTAGTGATGTTATGACTTGCTCCATATTTCTACTTGTCTCCTACAGTCTCTCCCCAAGGGTGGCTGTTAGCCCATGTATGCTCTGAGTAAGACAGTTTGAGAAAAGCATTGTAGCATAGTGGTTCATAGTTTGGTTTGCTTCTTTGATCTTCCATTTTCCACCTTTGTCAGAGGATGTTTTTTACTCTCTTTGTACCAGTTACTTATCTATAAAATAGGAATAATTTGACCTACCTCCAAGGATGGTTGTGAGAATTATAAAAGATAAATATTGAGGGCTTGGAAAAATATCTGACATATAGTAAGTGCTCTACAAATGTTAGCTATTATCATTTAAATTTCTTCCTTCTTGGCCCTTCTATTGGAGGCATCTATCTTCTGTTTCTGAATTATTGGCCCCCTGGGAGAATTCACTTGGTGTTGCCCAGAACCCTCAGGATGCCAAGGCTGCATTTATTAATTCATTCAAAATATCCATCAAGACCTGCAGGTGCAATTCTGTTCCAGGCATTGGAGAGTTATCAGTGGTGCACACAATAGAAGGAGCTTGCATTTTAGAGCACAAGACTGACAATAATTGTGAAAACAAAGAAATGAGTGAAACTATTTCCAAGTGCTTATTGTTACGAAGAAAAAGAAAATGGTGATGTGATAGAGAATGAACAGGTGGCTACTTTATTTTTTATTTTTAAAATTTAAAAAATATTTATTTATTTATTTTTTTCTGCGTTGGGTCTTTGTTGCTGCACGCAGGCTTTCTCTAGCTGTGGTGAGCGGGGGCTATTCTTTGTTGTGGAGCACGGGCTCTAGGCGAGCGGGCTTCAGTAGTTGTGGCACACGGGCTCAGTAGTTGTGGCTTGTGGGCTCTAGAGCGCAGGCTCAGTAGTTGTGGCACATGGGCTTAGTTGCTCTGCGGCACATGGGATCTTCCTGGACCAGGGATCAAACCCATGTCCCCTGAATTGGCAGGCAGATTCTTAACCACTGCACCACCAGGGAAGCCCCAACAGATGGCTACTTTAGATTGAGTGCTCAAGAAAGGCCACTCTGAGGAGTATCATTTGACATGAGGTTTGAATGACAAGAAAATACCTTTTCATTTAAAAATCTAGAGGAAGAGTGTTTCAGGCTAGTGAAATAGCAAGTACAAAGGCCCTGAGGCAGGATTGAGCTTGGTTTGTCCAGGCAACAGGCAATAGGTCAGAGTGGCTCAGAGATTAAGGGGATAGGAGGAAAGGAGATGAGGTCACTGAGCTAGCCAGGAACCATACCACACAGGCTTGGTAGACCAAGGCAAAGATTTTGGTTATATTTTAAGTCCTAGGTGGAGGGTTTGAAGCACAGGAGTTACAAGACTTTATTTATATTTCAGATGACTCACTCTTGCTGCAGCATGGAAAGACGGATTGGAGGGGAAGCAGAGAGGCCATCAGCCTCACTGTGAACTACTGTGGAATAGGCAAGGGAGGTAAGGGAGAATGGCTCTTTCCTAAGCTGTTTTTTCTTATTCATTCATTCATTCATCATTCAGTGGCTCTTTCTTGAGTGTCTGTTATGTGTCAGCAGTGTGTTAGGCCCTGGGACTACACTGATATATGATATTGTCATGAACTTTGCTACCATTGAACTTTCAATCAAATGTGCCTCTTGGTTTCCTGGGTCCTCACACAGTGCTGTCTGTACACATGATCTTTAGTGAACATTAATCCTAGAGTGGTTCATCTCAACCACATGCATCTTCGTGTGGGCTCACCACTGGGGCGAGTAACCACGTAGGATTCTTTCCTCTGTAGGCACCCGCAACATCCTACCTCTCTTGGCAAAATGCAAGGGATGCAAATGGGGGCATGCAAAACGGATAAGGTGGGAGAAGGAGACCTCTGAGCTTATGTGCCAGAAGCCTAGAACCTCCTGGAAGCCTGAATGCGTTTGTGAGCATCAGGTTACCCGGGCCTCTACCTCCAGGGGAACATGGAGGGAATTACAGATCATAAAGGTGACTTTTCTTTCTGGGCTGTTCTCAGTAAGGTCATGTTTTTTTTTTTTTTTTTAGAGAATTTTTTTAAGGTAGTGAAACAACATTGCCTAGTATGGAGAGCGCTTTTTCAGATTTAATTCACAACCACAGGCTCTCGTGTGAAATTCAGGGTGTAACCACATTTCTCAAATGGTAAAGAAAATGGGCAATCAGCTTTTTTCAAATGAAACCAAGCACCTAATAACTGTCTTTCACTATGAGATAGGCCTGTGAAACAAACTCCCAAGAAAGTCTGCTGGGTGGACTAAACTCTTCGATATCTTCTTTACAGAATAGAAATGTCAGTTACAATTTTTCATGGACAGAGGGAGGTTCAAGTTCAAGGAAGCAACGGGGAGTGGAACAATGATTTAGGAGGTTCTAAGTGTCTTTGGAATGAACACAAAGAGGAAAATACTAGGAAAAGGACAGGTGGAAAATCAGTTTAAGCCAGTTCCAGAATTTTTCTCACGGCAATGGAATCCTTTTTTCAGAATATTCTTCAGAGACCCAACATGAAAAAGAGAAAAAATAGGATCTGTTTTGAAAGTGGGAGAGTAAGTAGGGCTCAACCTGTTGCCATCCACCACACACCTCTCCATCCCTGGCAAGTGTTAGAGCCTCAGACCTTCAAGGAACCCAGCTGGAACCTTATTGACTTAAACCACAATACAGAACAAAGACTGTGTTAATTTAAATTTTATTTAGAGTATACCATATGCTAGGCAAGTTGCTAACAAAACAGTTTACATAACACAGTGTTACCCTTGACCCCATGAAATGAGTATTGTTACACCTGTTGTCAAGATGAGGAAACTGAGGTTCAGGGTGGCTAGATCATATGGCCAAACTTACACAGTTGCTAAGTGGCAAATCTTGGCTTCAAACTCAAAGCTGATACCAAAGAGTCTGCTTTTTTTTTTTTTTGCCACGCAGCGTGGCATGTGGGATCCCAGTTCTCTGAACAGGGATCTAACCCATGTCCTCTGTGGTGGGACCATGGAGTCTTAACCACTGGACTGCCAGAAAAGTCCCCAGAGCTTCTGCTTTTAACTAGTAAATTCTCCTAGCTCTCTCTCTTCGACAAATTTCTTCAGTTCTCATCAGGAGCACAAGCATTTCCAGGAATGTTTACAGAAAGGAGACAGGGAGGAGGAGAAGGAGGAAGAAAGAGGAATGTGGAGGGAGGCAGAGGCAGAGGGAGAGTAGGACTTAGACAAAGAGGAAGTTAGTGTAAGATGATAAAACCCAGGGAGCCAGCTGCTAAGCAATGAAACTCCATGGAAAATCCAAAGAAAGATAATACCACGAGGAGAGAGAGAAAGAGGAGGTGGGGTTCAGCTGTAAGGTCACTGCTTACTAGTGACCAAAATGCCAAGATTTCAGCCAGGGCTGGACCCCCCTGGTTTCTATTGTGATCTGGTTGACTTAGTCATTGAAAGTCAAGTTAATGGTGTCATTGAAAGTCGGGTTAATAGTCACGAACAAACAGATTAGGAGACTGGCCCAGGGCACAGGAGTCTCACCAGTGGACCAGCTAATTGGAGCTGGGCAGTCCTTTTGGGCACCCAGCTCATGAGGCCAGACAGTGCCCAGCCCCTTGGTGGTGGCTTTCCATGATGTCAGAGAATCATTTTGCCCCTGTTGACTGAAGTTTTAGCTAGGTTGCTGAGATGACTGGCTGGGTTGGGCTCCATGGGCTGACAGTGAGCTGACCCAGGGGACAACCCAAAAGACAAGAATAGGCATTGTTCTTCAAAAGAATAAAGCAGGGAAAAGAAACTAGTGAGAAACCTCTTAGCTTGTTTGTTGTTACTGGTCTCTGCCATTGGCTGGTTCACTTGTGTGGAATCAGTGGCCAAAAGCAGTAGTATTGACACCATGCAGCACCCAGGTCATGGGTAGCATTGGCGGCATAGCTCCTACCGCTATTAGGGGTTGGCTGGGTAACTGGGTGACAGTTGTAGTGGAAGTGCCTGCCTTGAGTGATAAGGGGCAGATCACTTCCTGATTCTCTGCCTCCGTTCACCCTTCTGAAGCACCATAATCACATGTGCTCCTTACCTACTTCTTTAGGTAAGGGATGTAGAGTCACAAGGCAAGAGTGTTGGAAAGCATCTTGAGTCTTCTGGGAAGAAAAGGAAAGAAACATTCAATGAGGACATACTGTATCCCAGGCAATTCACATGCCTTCTCTGATCAGATTTTTTTAAGGATAGGCAGTATTAACTCCATTTTATAAGAGATATTCAGAGGTTTCTAAGATTTGGAGAGATTGTATTGTCTGTCCAATTCTTCCACTCCTTTTTCCATCCCCTTCTTCTTTAGGTGCCTGTATACTTATAGATGCTTAGCCCTAACCAAAGGGCACCAGGATAGGTACCAAAAGGCTGGACACTAGCCCTGGCAGGGCCACTCCGTGGGCCAAGCAGATAACATGGCTATGGGTGGCAGTCAAGAAAAGGATAACAGGGAGAGGAGAGTGATAATGAAAAGTGCATATAAAGGCATTCAGGTGTGAGAAAAACACACCATTACAGCAGTGAACAGGATAAATAAAGCCAGAGTTCTTCAGTTTACAGCATCCTGACTAGATCATCTCTTAGGTCATTTTGAGTTCCAATGTTTAATTTTTTTTGCCTCCCATCAAAACTAGCATATCCTTTTTCTATTCTCTTCAGGCTCTGCTTTCTGTTGGTAGAAGTGGGTGGTGGTAATGAGCTAATCAGATTAGCTAATCACTACTGTGGGCAAATTAGCTAATGGGCAACTCTTCCCATGACTTAATGCCATAATTGGATTAAAGCACCTCCCTTCTGATCTTGACCTGGGGGACTGACAAATGGTGGGAATTCACACTTCTATACCCAGAATCCCTGCAACTACACCCTGGGAACAGCACCCAGCACAGGGCTGGACAGGAACTGACATGTGACCCAGCTTTGTTTCCCTGCAATTATGGCATCAATAAAATGGCCAGAGCCTAATGATTGGACAAAAAACTCTGGTTTCCGTATTATGTGGTGGCCCCATAGTGGGTGGGAGGTGGCAGGGGTGGGGGAACCATGACAATGTTAAAGTCATTTTTCCCCAGTTTTATTGAGAAACAGTTGGCATACAGCACTGTGTAAGTTTAAGGTGCACAGCATGATAGTTCGATTTACATAGATTGTGAAATGATTACCACAATAGGTTCAGCTAACATCTATCTTCTCATACAGATACAATAAAAAGAAAAGAAGAAAAGAGTAAAGGATAAAAATTTCTCCTTGTGATGAGAACTCTTAGGATTTACTCACTCAACAACTTTTTTATGCTGTATACACTTGAGTGTAGAAAACGTTGTAATAAATATAGAATGAGGGGGCTTCCCTGGTGGCGCAGTGGTTGAGAATCCGCCTGCCAATGCAGGGGACACGGGTTCGAGCCCTGGTCTGGGAAGATCCCACATGCCACGGAGCAACTGGGCCCGTGAGCCACAATTACTGAGCCTGCGCGTCTGGAGCCTGTGCTCCGCAACGAGAGGCCGCGATAGTGAGAGGCCCATGCACCGCAATGAAGAGTGGCCACTGCTTGCCACAACTAGAGAAAGCCCTCGCACAGAAACGAAGACCCAACACAGCCATAAATAAATAAATAAAAAGAAAATTATTAAAAAAATATATAGAGAGAATGAGGGATCTGGAAGGAATTTTCCATAATCGTGGAAGCTGAGGCCCCAGAAAAATGAATACGTGCACTATCTTGGGTTTGTATAATGTTTTACTGTTTACAAAAGGGCTTTCCTGTTCATCATGATATTTGATCCTCTTACCAACTCCCCATATGGAAACAGAGGTAGGCAGTATTATTTCCACTGTACAGATGAGAAAACTGAGGTTCCCAGAGGTTGACTTTCCCAACAACCAGTGCACTCATTGTCTTAGGGGCATTGGCATGGCAAGCCTTATACCTCATTGGCATCAACAGTCTTGTGGTTGGATTTCAGGTGTGGTGAGGAGAGGGTGGAGATGTAAGATAATTCCTCAAATTGCAGTACTTGGAGAGGCTGGCTATTTTGCACAAGCTGACAGCCAGCTCTGGTTCAGGTACTCTCCTGACTTCACTTACCAGGTTTAAATTGGCTCCTGGCCCTGGGTTTCCCAGGCATGGAAATGGCATCATCACTGCTTGAAGCAGAGGAGCAAGTGGAGCGCCTGGCACTCAGATGGCATTGCTCTCCCACACCTGAGCAGGTTGGAGGCTGGGTCAGTTCTCCCCAGTGTCTGTGCTTCACATGCTGGAGCCAACTTCTCTTCACACTTTCCTTCACCCTTCCCTTCATTCTGTGCCATGGAATCAGAAATGTCTGTTTCCTAACTTCATCTCTTTTGCCTCCATGGCAAGAAAGTCAGAGTTGGTCGAGGTCAATACAGTGACCCAGGTGCTGTGCTCCTGACATCGGTACAGAGGCAAGCTGTACTTTGAGTTCACTCTTGAGGACCACACAGCTCAGTGGGATGGTTGGTCAGCCACATAGCAAAGTAAGTGAGTTAGGAATTGCATTTGGCTTCAAGTCACCGAGAATCAAAGCAACAGGGTTTAAACAAGTCTTTTGTTTCTTCCACATTCCGTGAAATTTGGAGCTGGATGGCCCAAGGCTGGTCTGGTTGCTCTGTCAACGTGGTGTCACCATGATCCCAGGTTCCTTCTTTTCTTCTGATCCTTTTTTTTTTTTCCGTAGGATTGCTTCATGGTCAAAAGATGGCTGTTGGAGATCCAGTCTTCATGTCTCAAACAGGAAGAAGGAGAAAGGGCCAAATGCAAATGGTACATAATAGCAGAGTATACCCTCTTTGAATGATTTCCTGGAAGCCCCACACCAAGGTATTGACTTACGTTTCCTAAGCTACCCTATCTGCAGAGGGATCTGGGAGAGGTTTCGTTTATCTTATTTTTTTTCTTAAATTGGATTGTTATCTCTGACAATACAGTCTTTGATATTACAAAAGAGGAGGAGAAGGGGTGTTGGGTAGATCGCTAGCAGCCTCAGCTAATCTGGGCAGTTTCAGGGCGTGGTGGTGTATTCCATGCATTCTGCTCAATGTGTGGTTTAGCTAAATAATGAAAACACTCTAGGCCTCAGTTTTCTCACCTTTAAAATGGACATAATAACACCTACCTTGTAGTGACTAAATTTTATAGGACTCATGAAAGTTCAATGAGAAGGTGTACGCCAATGTCTTAGAGCTATGAAGGTATACTGTAAGTGTCCAATAGGTGTTAGTTGTGATGGTGAGCACAGGAGATGGTGATGATGCAGATCCTGAACGCAGTCTGCCTGGGTTGTATCCCACCTGCAGCACTTTCTGCTCAGCCGTGAGTGCGTTACTATGATTCAGTTTCTTCAGTGGTAAAATAGTAGGATGAGAGAATCTGCCTCTTTAAAATGCTCTCATATTGGGATGATCCGTGTAACGAGCTTAACAGAGTGTGTGGTGTATGACAGGTACTCAAAGAATGCTGTTCATTAAGATTGGAAGCACGGAGAACGGGAGTGTAAGGCTCAGCGAGGTGCAGTATCTGGGTTGTATTCAGGCCAAGGTGGGAGCCGGTAAAGAAGGTGGGGAGGGTGTCACAAGCAGAGCGAGGGGCACGCAGGTGTGAAAGCACGTGGTGTGTGCTCAGAGTTCATGGTGAGAAACGTCTGGTGCGTCTGGGCCCCAAGGTCAAGGTAGGAAGCAGGACAGGCTGAGGTGGAGAGGAAGGCAGTGTTTGGGACTTGGACAGCTTGTGTGACATGATGAGGAACCCACAGCCCTGCTGCCCCATCTCCTGGGGATGGTTTCTGAGGGTGGATGCGATCACATTCACAGACAAGGAATTAGCTGATCTGAACAATGCTTGGATTATTGGCGTCTGTCAGCTGCTACCTGTTAACCAAAGGCCCAAGGCTCAAACTCCGACAGGCTCCTCTGGGAACAGGCCATGAATCATATAATGATGGCCACTTTGGCAGAAAGGGAATGCTAATAGCTGGAGGCTGATCTTATGACTGGAAGAAAGGAAGGCTGTCGTAGGTTTTCATAGGGATAGAAAAACAAGTTCACTCTAGGTTTCTACAGGGCTTTATTCCCCATTAGCAGATAAGAACAGATGTGTTTATCCGATTCCCCTAGAAATTAAGGTGTTAAGGCAGCCGAAGAGGTAAATTTTGAGATGAGAGGAGGAGGTGCTGGGGAGACAGGGGTACATTATAGTTAAGCGACGATAGGGGCAGCAAAGGGCCAGCTGGGGCCTCAGCAGGGAGGTTGAGTAGAAAGAACACTTGACACAAGTTCAAAGTCTTGGGACCACCTCTGACCCCAAGTTCCCAGAAATGATGTACAGTGTTCTGTAAAACATGGATGATAACACTTGCTCGACTGGCCTGACCAGGCTGTTTGATCAAATGAGAAAATATACGTCTGCAAAGACACTTTGTGAGGGGCATCTAGAATAAAATCCACCCTCCACCTCAATCTCCCAGGCCTTCTGACGGATTATAGAACACACCAGCCTCTTTCCCACCTTTGTCCACATGTTCCTTTTTCTGCCTAGAACATTCTTCTGCCAGTTCTTCCTACAGTTCATCTCAGCTTATATGCCACTTCCTCAGAAAGGCCTTCCCTGCCCTATTGAAAGCACGCACTCCCCTTTGACCCTCTCCTGCCCAAGATAGCTTGTGGTTAAGGACTCAGGCTCTGAAGCAAGTCTCTGGGGTTCAAGTTCAGCTCTGACACATACCAGCTGTGTGACCTTGGGCAGTCACCCAAACTCCTTGTGCTTCTATTTCCACATGTATAAGATGAAGATCATAATAATATTTATCTCACAAAGTGGTAGAGACAAAGATGACTTCAGTAGGTGTCAGCTATTATTACTGTTCATCAGAGCGCTCTATTTCCTTTCTAGAACTAACCATGTCTGTAATTAATTTGTCTGTATATGTTTATTATCCAACACTCACCCTTTTCCATAATGGGCTCCCCATGAGGGCAGCGATCATGTCTTGCTGATCCATTCTTTTTTTTTTTTTTTTTCCATTTAGTGTTTGTGTTGTTGGGGTTGGGTACATATGTTGGTATCTATCTCTGAGCACAACTTATAGGAGACAATCTTTTTTATTTATTTATTTTTATTTATTTATTTATTTTATTTTTGGCTGCGTTGGGTCTTCGTTGCTGCGTGTGGGCTTTCTCTAGTTGTGGTGAGCGTGGGCTACGCTTCATTGCGGTGCACAGGCTTCTCACTGTGGTGGCTTCTCTTGTTGCGGAGCACGGGCTCTAGGCGCACGGGCTTCAGTAGTTGTGGCGCATGGGCTTCAGTAGTTGTGGCTCGCGGGCTCTAGAACGCAGGCTCGGTAGTTGTGGTGCACGGGCTTAGTTGCTCCGGGGCATGTGGGATCTTCCTGGACCAGGGCTCGAACCCGTGTCCCCTGCCTTGGCAGGCAGATTCTTAACCACTGTGCTACCAGGAAGCGCTGATCCATTCTTATATACCATGTGTATAGCACAGTATAGCCTGGAACCTAGAAGATGCTCAAGAAATAGTTGTTGGATGAGGAATGTACTGAATGAGCATTTCCCAGAACCAAGCCCTGGGGTGACCCAGGCAGTCCCGGGACCAGCCAAGGAAGTGGTCAGATGGCCCTGCTTTGCATTTTATTCTCCCCTTGGTAAGGCTTTCACTTATGTAATGGAACAGCAGTGAAATCCCACGATACCTCAGTGCTTCCCCTCCAGCCAGCCCAGTATACGACCACAAAAAGGAGGAAGAAAAAGTAAGAGAAAGAGAAGAGCTCCAAACCACATGCTTCTTGGGACAGAAAAATGAGCTCTGTTTTCTCCCAGAGTCATGTGAGGGCACAGTGGCAGACGGGGGGCATGTTTTGCTGAGCTTCAGAGCAACCAAGCAGTGAAGAATCAAGGGCCTCAGCCTGAGTGTCAGCAGTTGAGGCTTTTTCCACCTCTGCACCTAACTTGCTGTGCAACCTTCATCAAGTCACCTTCCCTCTCTGGGTCTCCTAAGTGTCCTCATCTGCAAATTGAGGGGATTGGAATAAATGATTAAGGTAGAGCCGTCATGCAGTCCTGGTTTTGCCTGTAGATCTGGCATAATTATTAACAATAACCTCTTTCATTCTCTAAGTGACCTGTACTAGGTGATAAATTATAAAATCAGTTTGATTCAAATCACACTGTTTCCATTTTTTGGATATGATAAACAATACTGCAGTGAAGTTCCTTATACATTCCTTTATTCAACAAATATTTGATAAGCATCTGTTATGTACCAGGTATGGTTCTGTGCTCTGGGGATACTGGAGGAATAAGATAGATAAGATCTCTGTGTGGAAAATACATTCTTGTGAGGGAGATAGATAATAAACGAGAAAACAACAACAACAAAATAAATTTTAGATAGTTATGAAGAAAATAAAGGAGAACAGTGTGCTAGATAGTGATAGGAGGTGCTACTTTATAAAGTGTGGTGGGGGAAGGTCTCTTTGAAGAGGTCACGTTTGAGCTGAGACCTGAATGATAAGAAGGAGCCAGTTATGCAAAGTACCAGGGAGAATGTACAGCAAATGCAAAGACCCTGAGGTAGGAACAGCTCTTTGTGTTTGAAGAGTAGAAACAGAGACAGTATGACTAAAGTATAGCAAGTGGTTGGAAATGAGGTTAGACATATAGGCAGGGGCCAGATCATATAGGGTCAAGGAGTTTGAGTTTTGTTCTTAGTGCAGAATATCTGGTTGTATTTTAATCACTGGAAAATCAAAGAATAAAACTAGCTCTATGTAGAATGGACTGTGAGCAAAAAATTTCGTGTATCTGGTTAGCTACAGCACAGAAAGCCATAACTTCACCCTAGGGTGTGTGGCACCCTGGGAGAGAATGAACAGCAGAGTCAGAGAGATCTATGTTCAAATTCCAGCTCCATTGGTATATATCCAAAAGAAGTGAAAGTGGGGTCTCGAAGAGATATTTGTATGTCCATGTTCATAGCAACATTATTCACAATAACCACGAAATGGAAGCAACCCATTCATGGATGAGTGGATAAACAAAATGTTGTATACAAATACAATGGAATATTGTTCAGACTTGAAAAAGGAAGGAAATTCTGACACATGTTAAGGAAGGAAGTTCTGACACATGATACAATATGGATGACCCTTGTGGGTATTATGCTAAGTGCAATAAGCCAGATACAAAAAAACAAATACTTTAAAGTTCCACTTACATGAGGTACCTAAAATAGTCAGATTCAGAGAGACGGAAAGTAGAACGGTGGTTGCCAAGGGCTAGGAAGAAGTGGGAATGGGGAGTTGTTTAATGGGCATGGAGTTTCAGTTTTGCAAGATGAAAAGAATTCTGGAGATTGGCTGCACAGTAATGTGCATGTACTTAATACTACTGAACTGTATACTTAAAAATGGTAAAAGATAGTAAATTTTATGTTATTTGTGTTTTACTATAATTAAAAAAAATTTTTAATTCCAGCTCCATCACGTACGGGCAGTGTGATTTGGCCGTTAATCTCTCTGAGCCTCAGTTTTTGCATATGTAAAAGGGTGACAGTAATACCTCCTAGCTCTTGTGTAGACAGGCTCAGAGGCTGTCTATTCCAATATTCCACTGCACAATTTGGAATCTCAGGCTTCCCAGCCTTCCCAGGCAGCTAAAAGACCCTTTCAGTGAATCTTTTTTTTTTTAACATCTTTATTGCAGTATAATTGCTTTACAATGGTGTGTTAGTTTCTGCTTTATAACAAAGTGAATCAGTTATACATATACATATGTCCCCATATCTCTTCCCTCTTGCATCTCCCTCCCTCCCAC